GACCCCATCTCTAGAGAAAAAAACAGTAGTAGAACATTGATACCAGTTTATTGTATGTATATTGTTATACCTAGAGCAACCACTAAGAAAACTATATACAAAGCAATATACTCAAAACCTTTTTTTTAATAAAAATAGAATTCTAAAAAATGTTCAGGTAACCTTGGGTGAGATGTAATTTGAAAAAATGAAAAAAGGAAATTAAAAAGATTAAAAATGTTCAGGTAACCAACAGGAAGGCAAGAAAGTGAAACAGAGAAATGAAAAAGAGAACAAATAAAAAATAAAACATCAGACTTAAGCCCTAACATAGCAGTAATAATTTTACTTTATTTCATTTTTTATTTATTGAGATGGAATTTCACTCTTGTCACCCAGGCTGGAGTGCAGTGGTGTGATCTCAGCTCACTGCAACCTTCGCTTCCCAGGTTCAAGTGATTCTCCTGCCTCAGCCTCCTAAGTAACTGGGATTACAGGCGCCCACTACCACACCCGGCTAATTTTTGTATTTTTAGTAGAGATGAAGTTTCACCCTGTTGACCAGGCTGATCTCCAACTCCTGACCTCAGGTGATAAGCCCACCTCGGCCTCCCAAAGTGTTGAATGGATGTACCTGACCATCCATTCAGTACCTGACCATCAGGAATTATTTTAGAAGCAAATGGTCTGAGTACTACAATTAAAAGACAAAGATTGGAAAAGTAGATTTTTTTTTAAAAATGTCTCAAGTAGGCCAGGTACAGTGGCTCCTGCCTGTAATCCCTTCGGGAGGCTGAGGCAGAAGCATCACTTGAGCCTAGAATTCGAGACCAGCCTGAGCAACACAGGGAGAACCCATCTCTATAAATAATTTTAAAATTAGCCGGGCATGGTGGCACATGCCTGTGGTCCTAGCTATTCAGGTGCTGAAGTAGGAGGATCGCTTGAGCCAAGGAGGTAGACGCTACAGTGAGTACAGTCAGCCATGATCACACCTGTCTTAAAAAGAAAAAAAAAATTGCCTAAGTATATGCTGTCTACAAGAGATGCATAACAAACATAAGGACATAGGTAGGTTGAAAGTTAAAAGATGGAAAGAAATATGTTAATTTTTTAAAGTAACAATAGCTATATATAATGATTATTTTTGTGTGTGTGTGTATATATATAGAGAGAGAGAGAAAGAGAGAGAGTTGTTTTTTCTTGTTGCCTTGACTCACTGGGCTCAAGCAATCTTCCCACCTCAGCCTCCCAAGTAGCTGAGTCTTATAGGCATGTACAATCATGCCCCGCTAATTTTCTTTTGATTTTTGTAGAGAGGAAGTCTCACTTTGTTGCCCAGGCTAGTCTCAAACTGCTGGCCTCAAGTGATACTCTGCCTCAGCCTCCCAAAGTGCTGGGATTACAGATTACCTGGCCTGAAGTGACTAACACCAGACAAAGTAGATGTCAGAGAAAAGAAGAAAGGATCAATCCCACTGAGAAAACGTAGCAGTTCTAAATGTATACACACCCAGAAACAAGAGTGTCAAGATACGTGAAACAAAAACTGACAGAGCTAAAAGGAGAAGTACACAAAGTCACAATTACAGTTGGGGACTTCTATGTCCCACTGTGAACAATTGATAGAACTACTAGACAGAATGTTAGTAAAGATGTAACAGTGCCATCAAACAACAAAATCTCATAGACATTGATAGAAATTCCACTCAGTCACAGAATATACATTCTTCCCAGGTGTCCCCTAAACACTCACCAAGATGGATCTTGGGTCATAAAACCAACTTTAATCAATTGAAAATATTGAAATTATGATGGGACATGGTGGTTTATGCCTGTAATCCCAGCATTTTGGGAAGCCGATGTGGGAAGACTGCTTGAGACCAGTTTGGGCCACATGGCAAGACCTCCATCTCTTCAAAAAAATGTTTTTTTGTAAATTATTCTGGTATGGTGGCACGTGCCGGTAGTCCCAGATACTTGGAAGGCTGAGGCATTAGGGTCTCTTGAGCCCAGGAGCTCGAGGTGGCAGTGAGCTGTGATCACGCCACTGTAGTGCAGTCTAGACGACAGACTTCATCTCTTAAAAAAAAAAACTGAAATTGGAATTATTTCAGGTATACAAGGTTAGTGCAATAATCAAAAGTAATCTGTCGGCCAGGTGCGGTGGCTCACGCCTGTAATCCCAGCACTTTGGGAGGCCGAGGCGGGCAGATCACGAGGTCAGGAGATCGAGACCATCGTGGCTAACGCGGTGAAACCCCGTCTCTACTAAAAATACAAAAAAAAAAGCCGGGTGTGGTGGTGCGTTCCTGTAGTCCCAGCTACTTGGGAGGCTGAGGCAGGAGAATGGCGGGAGGCAGAGCTTACAGTGAGCTGAGATTGTACCACTGCACTCCAGCCTGGGCGACAGAGTAAGACTCCATCTCAAAAAAAAAAAGTAATCTGTTATATCATAGTCTAAAGAAAATAAATTGTAAACACAGAAAAATCATTTAAGATAATCAAATAACCATTCATGTTAAAACTCGCAGCAAAGTAGGAATAGAGAGAAACTTTAAATTTAACTTGACAAAGAGCATCTACAGGAAGCCTACAGCTAACATCGTATTTAATGGTGAATAAGCAAATGCTTTCTATCTAAGATTGGGAACAAGGCAAGGATATCTACTTTTAAATACAGTGTACTGGAAGTTATTATAGAGATGGAGAACATAGTAGTTGCCATATATTTAGGGATAGGAAAGGGGATGGGGTAGATATTCATATTCAGGGGTAACATGAAGGAGCCCTATTGATTGTAACCAGCCACTCCAGGCCAGGTAATCTGTAATCCCAGCACTTTAGGAGGCTGAGGTGGTGGTGGTTACACAAAGCTACACTTGATAAAGTTGCATAGCACTACACACACTAACACACAAACACACACACAGAAATGAGTGCACGTAAAGCGAAAAATCTGAGTAGGCTCTGTGGGTTGTCTCCGTTTCTTGGTTTTGATAGTATACTGTATTTACGCAGGATGTCAACACTTGGGGAGACTGGGTAAAAGCGTACACAGGGACCTTCCCTATGTATTTCTTTGCAACTTCCTGTGAATCTGTCATTATTTCTCAAAGTTTCAAGCCTCCTAACCTCCCCAGTTTTGTGTCCCATCCTTTCCCTCAAAAATGTTCTTTAATTACAATCCTTTCAAAGATTCTTTTAAAATGCATATACAAGTGTATTTGCAGTATCTTTTCCCCCATCCCTTTTCAAGACCAATGGTTTCACATTATACTTATGCTTTGTTGTTTTTTTCTAATAGAGACCATTGCATAGTAATCATAAAAGAATTTCTCCATGCTTTATTTTTTCACATTCAGAGATTACATTGATATCTCTACCATAATAACCAGTTTTCTATTAACGGACCTCTGGATTGTTCTTTTGCTTTTAGAAACAATGATCTGGTAGAAACCTTGCACATTTACTATTTTGCTGATGTGTAAATACACTTCTAGGATAAATTACTAAAAATTGGTTTTCTGGATTAGAATTTGTCTGTCCTTGTAATTTTCAGAAAATGACACTGCCAGGCAGCCCTGCCTGTGGATCATAGCAGTTCACATACCTGCCAAGTATATTTCCCCATATTATTCTCAATAGTTATTTTAAAATTTTAGGACTTTTGACAATATGTTAGTGTTAAAATGGCATTTCAGGCCAGGCATGGTGGTTCACGAAGCCTATAATCCCAGCACTTTGGAAGGCCGAAGTGGGTGGATCACTTGAAGTCAGGAGTTTGAGACCAGCCTGGCCAACATGGTGAAACCCTGTCTCTACTAAAAATACAGAAATTAGCCGGGTGTGGTGGCGCATGCCTGTAATCCAGCTACTTGGGAGGCTGAGGCAGGAGAATTGTTTGAACAGGGGAGACAGAGGTTGCAGTGAGCCGAGGTCGCACCATTGCATTCCAGTCTGGGTGACAGAGCGAGACTTTGTCTCAAAAAATGGCATTTCAGTGGGGTTTTAATTTTTATTTTTCTTATACTTAACATTGTACATCTTTTCGTAGTTTCAAAAAACTTTGTATCTCTTTTCTATAAAGTCTGTTCACATTGTTTTGGTCATTTTCCCAGTGGATTATTGGCCTTTGTAGCAGTTACTGATTTGTGGTAGTAATTTATAGACTAAGCTTTTTGTCTTTGGTATGAGGGTCAAGTAGTTCTTCTGTTTGTCATTTGCCTTTTGACTTTTATTATAGTGTTTTGTCTTATTTTGTTTTCTGCCACGTTGAAGTTTTTTATTTTTCTTTAGTCAAACTTATCTTTTGTGGCCTCTTGACCTTGTAACAGTTAGAAAGGCCTTCCCCACAGCAAGGTTATGTATTTCATGGTATTTTAATGCTCTCAGTTATAGTACTGTTGAAATCCGAAGTAACCTCTCCACAGAGAGGAGGCTATGTTGCCTTAGGTAGGAGACTTATTTCTGGCCCTGAGTCTGGTTCCATGGGTCTCCTCGGCCTTGTTGGAAATCTGGGTCACTGTTAGAACTAGATCAGGTTAATCTCACATCCTCCATAAAGTGGTTCTTTATAGGGAAAGGAAGGAAAGGGAGTCATTGAATGATCTTCTGGCTCTTATCCCATCTCACAGCAACCTTTATTCCAAAGATAGACTGGTAGAAGAGGTTTTTGTCCTATTGCATGGAGAGCTAGTGGTTGGAAGACAGAGTCCCTTTGGTCTCTAGGGAAGGGAAACCAAACTTAAAGGACCATTTCTTTCCACTGATCATTTGTGCATGTGCCACTTAGACTGCTTTTCCACAGGGTCAGGCTCCCTGAATCTGAGGAATCTAAAACTGTCCTCCATCACAATGAGAACTTGGGAGTCTTGTCCACATTTCAGCAGCACAACCCTGTGGACTTTTTTCAGAATGAAGTGCTAGTTAGTGGTCTGTCTTTGCTAAACCTTGTATTTTCAAAATGGGTGTGAAAAAATGTTTGCTTAGCACAATTCCCACCCACCCTCTCCCCTTAGGAATAGCCAGGCCAGAAGAAGGAAGGCCTGCTGTGAGTGGGACCGGAAATGACATCACCACCCCACCAAACAAGGAGCTCCCACCAAGCCCAGAGAAGAAAACAAAGGTAGGTGCCAGAATGGTGGTTATCTTCTACTGCCATAATTTTTAAACAAGAGTATCTTCTGCTATTATTGCTTGAATCACGAATGAAATTTCTTTTTTCTGAGCTATTATTGTCCTTCCTCATGTTTGGTAGAAAATATCTTGTATTCTCATTTACCATAGTGGCCTAAACCAACTTTAAAATCTCAGCCTTTGACCCTATTATCTTATATATCTGTAAAAAATGTTCTGTAGAGGTCGGGCGTGGTGGCTCATGCCTGTAATCCCAGCACTTTGGGAGGCCGAGGCAGGCGGATCACGAGATTAGGAGATGGAGACCATCCTGGCCAACATGGTGAAATCCCGTCTCTACTAAAAATACTAAAATTAGCTGGGCATGGTGATGCATGCCTGTAACAGCTACTCAGGAGGCTGAGGCAGGAGAATCACTTGAACCAAGGAGTTGGAGGTTGCAGTGAGCCAAGATCATGCCACTGCACTGCTCTCCATCTCAAAAAAAAAAAAAGTTCTATAGAGATTGTTTCTGCTTCCCTTAACAACAACCAAAAGGACAATCGCAAAAATATTCTGAAATTCCGAATTGTTTGCTATTATCTCAGTGTTACATGAAAGAAAAAAAAAGATTCTGAAATCTCCATTCACGAAAAGAGAATGCAGATTTTGAAGGTGGATCATATAGCTTCAGATGCATAACTAGTACTTATTGCAAAGTTCAAAAGCCACACTGTAGGCTGTGGCTGTTGTTGTCCCATCAAGGTACAGGTAGTTTCAGCATGTTGTCCAGGGTCTTCAAAAAATTAAAAAGTTATTAAAAAAAATACAGCTAATAATGGCTCAATCATCTCCTGATGCTTTTCTTCTAGAATTATTTTAGCCACCAAAAGTTAGTTAATTACTAAGAGTTAAGTAATTGTTTTACTGAATTAAATCTTCAGGTGCCAAACTGCCAGAATTTGTGCCACTAACATTAAGAAACTATTCCCAGGCCAGGCGCGGTGGCTCACGCCTGTAATCCCAGCACTTTGGGAGGCCGAGGCAGGCAGATCACAAGGTCAGGAGATGAGACCATTGACACCTTGAAACCCCGTCTCTACTAAAAATACAAAAAATTAGCTGGGCGTGGTGGCACATGCCGGTAGTCCCAGCTACTTGGGAGACTGAGTCAGGAGAATCGCCTGAACCTGGGAGTCGGAGCTTGCAGTGAGCTGACATCACCACTGCACTCCAGACTGGGCGACAGAGCGAGACTCCGTCTCAAAAAAAAAAAAAAAGAAACTATTCCCCACTCACTTTCTCTATCCTGATCTCATTCCATTATTTGTTGAGCTCAGAAGAAAGAAATGCTAATTTTAAGTTGCATCTATCCTCATTGCTTATAATTTTACTTTGAATTGTGCAATTTATACTTTTTTAATTTGTTTTTATTCTTTTCTGTGTGTTTGATGTTGCCCTTTAAAAAATAAAAATAAAAAATAAAAAAAACAACAATCAACCTAAAGCCTTTGGCCACCACTCAACCTGCAAAGACTTCAACATCGAAAGCCAAAACACAGCCCACTTCTCTCCCTAAGCAGCCAGCTCCCACCACCAGTGGTGGGTTGAATAAAAAACCCATGAGCCTTGCTTCAGGCTTAGTACCAGCTGCCCCACCCAAACGCCCTGCCGTCGCCTCTGCCAGGCCTTCCATCTTACCTTCAAAAGACGTGAAGCCAAAGGTAAGTGGTCACCTAACTACTGTGCCGAGGAAAATTGTTCCCCTCTGAGTGACAAATAGACAGACTCTTGTTGCTAACAGGCAACAGAATCAGGCTGGTGGAATTGGGAGAAGGCAAGGGAAATGGGGGAGAGGGTGATTTGAAAATTGGCATGGCTACTCTGGGTGCACTGCCTATGGGTTACCCTGCTCCACAAAGAGCGGCCAAAAAAAGAAAAAAGAAAAGGAAATCAATTTGGGGCCCATTGATGCAGCCATTAACATTTTGAAGCCCTTTTATGCTTTTACCTTTCCCTGCCCTGTTTGGAGGTAATACTCCATCTACTTAGGTTCCTCCTCCTTTCTCTTAACTACCTACTCTTTACCTATTTAAGCACTTATTAACCAGTTTCCTCTACTCCACATACCAATTAGATATTCTTTCTTGGTATAATTCCCACATCAAATGTAATTCTTTGTCTTTCCTTTATCCTGTGGAAGTTTTATCCATTACTATTGTGATATAACTAGCTCTTCCCGCTTATCTCAGCATGTTCCAGCATGATGTGATAACTTACTTTGCTTTGGGCATTAGGCCACCTCTCACTGAGCTACTTCTGAAGTCATCCAGTTTTCCAGGTCACCCACGGTTTCTGTATTGCCCAGAAACCGGTCACATTTGGAGCAGCGTTTGGAGCACATAGCGTTACAGAATTGCTCCAGGAGGAGAGGATAGTGGAGGCTATGGCTGCCTTTCTTAACATCTTGTCTTATTTGAGAAGGGCCTTTAGGTCAGTCTGATAGTACTCTTTAAATTCATGGTACAAAATAGTTTCCCATGTTAAAGTGTCAGTTTTTAATTTAATATTGTGAAGAAAACTGTGGAACCTAGGAGTTGAAGTCTAGGCTGAAACCCTGGCCAAGAAACTGAGAAATCCTCTCATCAACTAGTAACGATAAAATCTTATAAAGCTTTCTCTCTGATCCTCATTTATCCAGTCGGTTGCTTTTCTTGATCTTTAGAAAACAATAGGTTTGAATAAGAGGGCAGAGGGGAGGTGCCTGGAGTCCTGGCCGCAGGTCCTCCCTGATGCTTATTCAGCAGCAGCAGGGGGTGACAGAGGAGAGTGTAGGAAGGAGAGGTGTCTAGTGAAATTTCACTCTATAATAAATCATATAAATGAAATGTACTGTACTAGTTGCTTTATATACATGAACTTTTTAAAAATTTTTATTTTTTTGAGATGGAGCCTTGCTCTGTGCAGTGGCACACTCTGGGCTCACTGCAACCTCCGGCTTCCAGGTTCAAGCAATTCTCATGCCTCAGCCTCCTGAGAAGCTGGGATTACAGGCACCCACAACCTTGCCTGGCTAATTTTTGTATTTTTAGTAGAGATGGGATTTTGCCATGTTGGCCAGGCTGGTTTCAAATTCCTGACCTCAGGTGATCCTTCCACCTCAGCCTCCTAAAGTGCTGGGATTACAGGCGTGAGCCACCGCGCCTGGCCTGTATACATTAACTCTTAATTCTCTCAATCATCCATGACGTAGGTATCAGTATTTTCATTTTATAGGTGAGGAAGCTTAAGCTCAATTAAATAAACTTCCTAAAGTCCAGTGCTAGTAAATGGCAGAACCAGTATCTGAGGCTGGAGCTGACTCCAGTGCTGAGGCCCAGGGCTATCACTGTTCTTTTATGGCCTTTTGCCATTCAGCTTTTAGACAGCATTTCAAGATATAGCTGACCTAAACGGGTGATCTGCATTGTAATTATTAATGTTTGTCTTTTAGATAAGAAACAGATTGATAAAATCTAGCCAGGCATGTAAAGCTGGTCCTCTGTTCTAATGTCTTTTCTTTTCTTTTCTTTTTTTTTTTTTTTGAGATGGAGTTTCACTCTTGTTGCCCAGGCTGGACCGCCTCCCGGGTTCAAGTGACTCTCCTCCCTCAGCTTCTTGAGTAGCTGGGATTACAGGCACCTGCCACCATGCCTGGCTAATTTTTTGTATTTTTAGTAGCGCTGGGGTTTCGCCACATTGGGCAGACTGGTCTCAAACTCCTGACCTCAAGTGATCCGCCTGCCTCGGCCTCCCAAAGTGCTGGGATTACAGGCGTAAGCCACCGCGCCAGTCCTGTTCTAATCTCTTTTATCCAGATGAGGAAATAAAGCTCAGAGAGGCCCAGCAATTTGCCCAATAACACTCTTAGAATTAAGGGGCCAAACCAGGAATACAGCTCGGGCTTCTAACCCAGATTTGGCTAGTGGCCTCTTCATCTGCACTTTATTTTGGTAGAAAGATTTGTAGAGACAGAGAAAAACCTATACAGAAAAAAATAAGTAGATTATGATTCTGGCAAAGAAGAAAATGTAAATTGGGAAACAGCAGAATAGCTCCAGTTAACTTCTGCAGGTCGTTGAAACCAGGAGCCTGACATCTAAAAGATGCAACATCCTTTTGAGATTTCTATCCCACATAACTTTTTTCTAACTTATTTTATCATTATTACCCTTACTGGCAAAATAATAAGACTATGCTAGATTATTCTGAATAATAGTCATAGTGTTAAAAATTTGATGCACTTCCCAGAGAGCATCTGGTTTAGTCCTCAAATTTTAGAGCGATAGGAAATTTTAGTCCTCAAATTTTAGAGCGATTTGCGCTCTGCCCAAAATCCTACATGTTTCCAGCAGAGCTGGAAGCAGAACCACGTCCCCTGATTCCAGCCTTAGAGTTCTTCACACCGTACTTAGGGCCTTTATGTGTGGAAATCGTCATTACCCTACATTTGCAGAGTTACACTTTATTTGATTGGATGCCAGCCCTTAATTTCTAAGTACTTCCTTAGCTGATTTTTCCATTTAACGATATCCTGCTTGTCTCTACCTCCATACTGCCCTCTTTATAGCCACTTCTCTTGGAGCAAGAGAGCTGAGCCCACTGTGTCTGTGATTTGGCGTACTCTCTTTTGTAACGTGGTAATTTGTTTATCAAAATAGTGTCTTCATCCCCTATCCCCATAGAAACCAGGCTAAATTGATTGTTTCCCTTCTTCACTAGAGACGTCATTCCCAGCCTCCATGTAAAAGGAACTAGAGTGGTCCAGATGCCAAGCATCTACACTTGAGAGACTTTTTCCCTTTTGCTGTCGGACCGTAGCTGTGGTATCAGTGCTCTTTATCCCTTCTGTTGCTCAGGCTGCCTCTTCTCATCGTCTCTGTGCTGAGACCTTTCCTCCTTTATTTCCTGACATCACATATTATCAGAGCTGGTCCTTCATCACCCTCCATTCTAATCTCTTTATCCCAATGAGGAAATAAAGCTCAGAGGCTCAGTGATTTGCTGGAGTAGGGCTGCAGCTCACACTTCTGGCCCAGATTTGGCCTGTGGCCTCTCCATCTTTCTGCTCAGTCCTGTTCAGCATTCTGTAGGTGCGTGTTAGCCAAAAGAACAGCTTGATTTGACTGAACATAATTTTTAGTTTTTGTTTGTGTATGTGTTTAATCTTTGGTCAAGTATAATACATTAGATTTTATTACATTAAACACATTAGTATTTTTGGCATTTCTACAGAGGTTACATTAAAATGTGTGTGTGTGTATGCATATATATATGCATATATACATATATATATATAAGTATATAATGCAGTAGATCTGGAGACAGATGTAGGTTGTGGTAATGTACCCTTCAGGGCTATTCATTCTCACTGGCTCAGGTTGGATTGAAGTAGTTTTACTCTCTATTGCATGTCCTCAGATTACACAGCACCCTGCATGGCTAGTTTGCTGCTTTATGTGGAGGACTTTGCTCTTAGAACCATATATATTTTCCTGTCAGTAGCTGCTGAACCCACAGTACCTCCTGTTCTCTGGTACATGCTTGTGTAGAAGCATCTTGTGTCCAGGTGCAGTGACTCAGGCCTGTAATCCCAGCACTTTGGGAGGCTGAGGCAGGTGGATCACAAGGTCAGGAGATCGAGACCATCCTGACTAACACAGTGAAACCTTGTCTCTACTAAAAATACAAAAAATTAGCTGGGCGTGGTGGCACACGCCTGTAGTCCCAGCTACTCTGGAGGCTGAGTCAGAAGAATTGCTTGAACCCAGGAGGTGGAGGCTGCAGTGAGCCGAGATCATGCCACTGCACTCCAGCCTGGGCAACAGAGCAAGACTCTGTCTCCAAAAAAACAAAACAAAACAAACAAAAAAAGAAGCGTCTTGTAGCGTGACTCCTTGGGGCTATTGCTGACCTGCAGGCCTCACTCCCACTTACCTATTTCCAGCCCATTGCAGATGCAAAGGCTCCTGAGAAGCGGGCCTCACCATCCAAGCCAGCTTCTGCCCCGGCCTCCAGATCTGGATCCAAGAGTACTCAAACTGTCGCAAAAGCCACAACAGCTAGCTCTGTTGCCTCAACTGGCCCAAGCAGTAGGAGCCCCTCCACGCTCCTGCCCAAGAAGCCCACTGGTGAGTATTGCCTGTCTTTCTCTCCCATGGGATCTAGGGAGGGGAAAATGGGATCTTGGCTTTGCCCCAGCCATAGCTCTAGCCAGTATCACAAACAGCTGTGCAAGCCTGCTTACGCACTGGTCCTTAGTGGGCTACCCAGAACAGTGGTAGCCCTGTGGGCCTGATACTTTTTTTTTTTTTTTTTTTTTTTTTAAGGAAAGAGGCCTTGTATCTATCCTAGCAGAGTGCAGTGGTCGCCAATTCAGCTATGCCAACTCCGTTCCAGGTTAGCATTCTTGTCCGCCTGTTGCTGCCGGACTACAGGCACCCCAACCCACCAGTTTTTTTTTGTCTTTTAGTAAGAGCGATTTCACCGGTGTTAGCCAGGATGGTTCGATCTCCTGATCTCGTGATCGCCCGACTTCAGCTCCAAAGTGCTGGGATTATCAGGCATGAGAGCCACCCACCAGCTAGTACTTAAGCCCTTGATCTCTGTTGTGACTTAGCAGTTGTATGTATTCAGAAAAACTTGAGTAGAGGCAGAAAAATGTACGTCATGAATTTCCAGGTAGAATTACTCTTGCTTCTTAGTAACCCACAGCACCTGGTGCTCATGGCCTTACATGATGATAAGAGAGAGGGCTATCCAAGTCATAGGCATGTATTGACAGCCTACTTTTTTTTTTTTTTTTTTGAGACGGAGTCTCGCTCAGTCGCTAGGCTGGAGTACAGTGCCAGGATCTGGTCACTGCAAGCTCCGCTCCCGGGTTCACGCCATTTCTCCCTGCCTCAGCCTCCCAAGTAGCTGGGACTACAGGCGCCCGCCGCCACGCCCGGCTAATTTTTTGCATTTTCAGTAGAGACGGGGTTTCACCGTGTTAGCCAGGATGGTCTTAATCTCCTGACCTCGTGATCCACCCACCTCAGCCTCCCAAAGTGCTGGGATTACAGGCGTGAGCCACCGCGCCCGGCTGACAGCCTACTTTTAAGGCCACATAGAAGGCGTTATCAGGGCGGTACAGAAGAATAAGACACAGTGCCTGACCATCTAGTTTACCACTCCATTCCCAGGGACTAACACAGTCCCTGGCTCAAGGTAGATATTCAGTAATTGTTAAATAATGAGGAATCTCAATATTGGATGGACTATCCAACAGGTCAGTTTGTTAAATGTTATATTAATAAGTATATTTTGTACAGCAATTAAGACTGAGGGAAAACCTGCAGAAGTCAAGAAGATGACTGCAAAGTCTGTACCAGGTAATAGCCCCTCTGCCATTTTGCAGAGCCCTAACTTGAACCCCCACCTCCTCTGTGGCTTAAGTCTCCCTTTTTCTCTCTCTCCCTGAACCCGTTTTATCTCTGACTCCCTTTGCAGCTGACTTGAGTCGCCCAAAGAGCACCTCCACCAGTTCCATGAAGAAAACCACCACTCTGAGTGGGACAGCCCCCGCTGCAGGGGTGGCTCCCACCCGAGTCAAACCCACACCCATGCCCTCCCGGCCCTCCACAACTCCTTCCATAGACAAGAAGCCCACCTCGGCCAAGCCCAGCTCCACCACCCCCAGGCTCAGCCGCCTGGCCACCAATGCTTCTGCTCCTGATCTGAAGAATGTCCGCTCCAAGGTTGGCTCCACAGAAAACATCAAGCATCAGCCTGGAGGAGGCCGGGTGGGTCCAGGGAACCCGGGGTCCTGTCATGCTGGCCCCTGCATCCTCCCCTCCATCTCCACCCACTGTTCGCAGGCCCACCAAAGCAACAGGCAGTTAGGACACTGGACTCAGCGTCAGGGTATTTCAGCCTGGGCTCTGTAGTGGGCTTTGCGCCCCAGCAGCAGGGAGGGCGGGGTGGGCTCAGCTCTGGGCTTTCTCTTCCTGTCTCAATAAGAAAGGCTCCTATTCTAGATGTTGGGGTCTTGGTTTACATTTTTGCTTGGATGTAAAAGGATTATTTTATAGAAGAAACAGAGGAGGCCTCAGAGACTCAGCAAGTATGAGAGATGCTTGACATGAGCCTAGTTTTTCATGGTTCTTAGCCTGCACAGAGAATGTCAGGATACGCAGAAGGTAGAACACCTCTTACTTCCACAACCCATCACTTGAGTGGAATCTATCTGAAAGAGGACTAGGGTGCCCTCTTGTGGCCAGGATGAGTCGTGCTGTGAGCCTCTGGCCTTCCTAAACAACAGGACTGCACTGCATATAGTGATAGAGAAAGATCACAGTGCTTCTTCCCTTTTAGGATTTTCCAGTGGTTATGATTTTCTGGTTGCATCAATCCCAGAATTATTTAACTGTTGGTAACCATGGGAACTCTGTGAAAAGGTGGTGATGAAAGTCCATCTGAGAACATTCGGGTCCCTGGAGTAGTGACCATCTCATCTCCTAGGTTATTCACTAGCTCTACACCACCACCACCACCATCCAGGGCAGAATACTTAAATTGCTTAATCTGGAGCTGTTAAGATATTCAGGAGGGACAAAAATGAGGTGGAATCCTGGTGCTGTTGGAAGACACCGATGGCAAGCTGAGATCAGTCTAGGGAAGAGCCTGAGAGTTGCTTATGGTAGCGACAGTGGCTCTGGTGTGCCCAGCAGGCCTCTGGGCTGTGCTGCTGATGGCCTGCCTCCCCCTGTCTTTGCTTTTAAGGTTTCATGGTGTGAAAGTTACAGGAGGTCTTGGGTGGGGAGTTGAGTGACTTGATCTAGTGAATTGTTTTCCGCTCCAACATACCTGAAGAATGTGACACTTTCTATCAGTATTGACTTCTCTGGCCGTGGCAACTGCTTGGGGCATATCAGAACATTTGGCACGGGGTGGGGGGGTATTGTAATTGGAAAATCATGCCCCAGCACACTCTCAGAATCACTAATTTGGTTGTCTTAGCCTTCCTTTGTGCCTTTTCTCCTTTAAATAGTGTCTTGACCTGTTCCTCATTTCTCGAGACTGTGGCCTGCAGCTCCTTTTTTTGTGTCCCTCTACGCAAGGATCTGTGACTTGGTCTACCCTGGGAAATGTGTGGTTTTGCCTAGGATCAAAGGCCACCTGCTTTTGCCTGGTGGCCTGACCTGGATTTGAGTCCCCTACAGCCTTCTTCCCTTCTTGGCATTTGAGCTCTTATCCTCTTGGTTTGAAATTTGCCCTCCCTTTATCTCCATCCAGGCCAAAGTAGAGAAAAAAACAGAGGCAGCTGCTACAACCCGAAAGCCTGAATCTAATGCAGTCACTAAAACAGCCGGCCCAATTGCAAGTGCACAGAAACAACCTGCGGGGAAAGTGAGTTTTACTTAGACCCACCTCTGGAAGGTGAAGATGGTAAAATACTTCTTCCAGCCTGAGCCACTTGCCCTCTCTTGCAATTTTTCCCTTTCCTTAACTAGTTTCTACTTCTTCTCCCCCATATTCCCTTCTCTGTGCTTGATGACTCAACCATCAGAAAATTTTTTGTATTAACTTTGAAAGTTAATGGAGTTGGGAGCCCATTAGCCCTTTGGAGAATATATATATGTATATAATTTTTGGCTGGATAAAATGGATCCAAAGACTTTCGTTCATTTCCTTCACACTGACCTTGATGTGAAACCTACCTGGTATGGATGCAAATACAGTGCACCTCCATTCGTTATCAGGAAGACATGGCAGGGGCAATTTCCACCACCTGGAACCCTGGAGCCCCTGTGCTTTACCTTGAACTAAAAGATCCCTCTCATAACGCTGCTGGGTGTGGAGATAACTTCATTTGTACTGGTTCCCCAGGTCACCTCTTAACTGAAAGTTAGGATGCTCATTCCCAGTGGAAACCCACTTAGTATAGGCATGCAGCATCAACTGGAGGGCAGAGGTAAGCTGAAACCACAGGTTCTTTCCCCTTGCTTCTGTAAACCTGGAAACCAGGCCCCTCCTGAGTTCTTGCAACACCTTCCTTAGCTGTAGCAGGTAGGTGTGCCTCTGCCAGAGAAGCCCGCACTCCAGCCCTTAGGGACCAGCATGAAGTCTCAGCCTAGGGCTGAGTGAAGAAAGCTGCACTGTGGCTTCTAGGTGACTACTAGAGGTCCTAGGTTCAGACCAAGGCTCATTAAGTAGTTTGCTAACCACTTGTTTACCATCAAAGTTGTGAAAAAGGCTAGAAATGAGTAGGTACAATGAGGTATATGGGTTGGAGTTTCTCAGGATTTCTGTACTCTGTGGAGAGCTCTTCAGCCTAGGGCCTGCATCATTTGCAAAGAAAGGAAGTTGGCAACTATTCCTTCTTGAGAAGGTCCTGGGATTCTTTGTTCCAGACTCTTAGAGCCAGGGCCTTGGTGTTTCTCAGTTCCAGGGGAAGCCATTCCCGTACTATACAGTGTGGTGCCCCCAGGATTGGGTGTTATTGCTCCCCTGCTGAGAGCCTGTTGTTTCCACATGGGCATCTCACAGGGCAGAGGATTAGGCATATGGAGGATTCAAGAAGGTATTTTACCCTTGAGTCAAAAATACTGTGCCTTCTCGAGCCCTGAGACAAATGGGCTAAGTGTGGAGGCTGCAGCCACTCCCCTGGTAGTGGAGATTCTGTATCCATTTGTATTCACATCTGAGCACTGTCCCCTCCTTCCTGTTAGTATCAACCGTGCCCTTGTTGCCAGCTGCCCAGTGCTTCTCATAGCAGCCTTTGCTTCTGAGAGTGGGTCTGGCTGCAGCCATTCCAGGGCCCAGATTTAAGGGAAGCACCCTCTTTGGGTGAGAACAGGTCCACATGATAAGACTCTTGCAGAGAAGAGCCAAGGACGCTGTGCCCAGCTCTTGAGGAGGGAGCAGGGCAAGGAGGTAGGGCTGTGCCTGGTGGGGCATCAGGCTGGGCTGCTGCCTGGGCCTTGTCAACCACAGCCCCACCCCCAAGGAGCGGTGATGACCAACATGCCCCACCTGCGCAGCTCTGCTCCTGTCGTTGTGTTGTCTGTTCACGTTTTTCACTCCCCTTCTTGCTCTTTCACATTTCTTTTCCTGTGCTTTTCCACATGTTCTGTAGAAGATGGGGGTGGAGGTTTAACAACACTTTTTGTTGGTCATTGTGATCACGTGTGGACTCACTGCCTTCCCTGTGTCGATTCTAACCAGTCCTCTCCCTTTGTGTTGTTTTTTCTGTTTTCTAACACTCCAGGTCCAGATAGTCTCCAAAAAAGTGAGCTACAGCCATATTCAGTCCAAGTGTGGTTCCAAGGACAATATTAAGCATGTCCCTGGAGGTGGTAATGTAAGTATAAGCTCTGGTTAGCTGGCATCTGAGACATAGCCCACTGTGGGGTATACTGGGGAGAGAGCCAGGTGCCCATGTGGATAGAATCCCAGTGACCTGAGCTGTGGCATTCTCTAAGAAGCAGACTAGCAAACTGAGGGGACCTTCATGCTCCCATGTTAGACAGGGTGTTTCTGGCGAGCCCCTGAACACCAGCATGGTGATATCCACTCAGTATCTTTTTACCCATGTGGGTGGGAGGCTTTGGATTTTTCTCCAGCTATGTCAGAGCCTGGGTCTGAGCACAGTGGTCAGCAGCAGACCTGTTGCCTGTCTGGAGTCCATTCCTGGGATGCATATGTTTGTCTGCATGCCCTTGAATTACCGTGGGAGTAATTGCTCTGAGACAGATGTCTACATCTTTCCAGAGCTCATCTTTGAATCCTTGTTATTATAAAATAAGAATTAATCATTTTCTTCCTATCCCTTCCCCGCGTTTTTCTTCATCTTTGTTGCTCTCCAGCTCTCTGGTTTTTCCCCTACTTTATTTTCTCTCCCTACTTTCTCCTCTTTTTCTTTTTTCTTTTTTCTTTTTTTTTTGAGACAAAGTCTCACTCTGTTGCCCAAGCTAGAGGCAGTGGTGCAATCTCGGCTCACTGCAACCACCACCTCCCGGGTTTAAATGATTCTCCTGCCTCAGCCTCCCGAGTAGCTGGGACTATAGGTATGCGCCACCATGCCCAAATAATTTTTGTATTTTTAGTAGAGATGGCATTTCACTATGTTGGCCAGGCTGGTCTTGAACTCCTGACCTCATGATCCGCCCGCTTCAGCCTCCCAAAGTGCTGGGATTACAGGCATGAGCCACTGTGCCCGGCCTTCCCATTTCCCTTTCTGCTCTCCCTTTTTTTTTTTCCCTTTTCTAATCCCTTCCTCCTTTTTCTTCCCCTCGTTTTTTAGTCCCTTTTCCCATTTTTGTTGTTATTTTTTGAGACAGAGTCTCACTGTTGCCCAGGCTGGCATGCAGTGGTGTGATCTCGGCTCACTGCAACCTCCACCTACCAGGGTCAAGCGATTCTCCTGCCTCAGCCTCCCGAGTAACTGGAACTACAGGCATGCACCACCATGCCCAGCTAATTTTTGTATTTTTAGTAGAGACGGGGTTTCACCATGCTGGCCAGGCTGGCCTTGAACTCCTGACCTCATGATCTGCCTGCCTCGGCCTCCCAAAGTGCTGTGTTACAGGCATGAGCCACTGCGCCCAGACTTTTCCTCCTTATCTTTTTGTCCTCTTTCCTCTTCCCCCCAAACATCCTTCTTTTTGTCTTGCTGCCATTGTGTGCCAGCTCTATGATGGGTATTGGGGACACAAGTGATCCCAGCTCACAGGAAGGTTCTGGTCTAGGGAGAGATAGGGCAAAGTCTTACTGTCGTTGAGTGTGTGAAGAACACCCTGTGTGCTTTCTGCTTGTCACTGTGACAGTGCCCAGGCGAGTGGTACTCTGTGGAGTTGTACCAGAGGCACCAGAGGCTGCCATGCACAGCGCCTGCCCTCACCGCTCTCTTCCAGACCAAGTGGGACAGCCTGTCTTGCCTCCGTTTCTTTTGAGTTCATTCGGTTCTTTCTCCTTGCTGTCCTGAACTGGACTAGGTCCTGCTCCACTTACCCTTTTCATTTTTAGACTCTGTTAACACTCCTGCCTCCTCCTTGGTGATCATGGCATTCTGCCCATGGCCTACAGACACCCCCAGCAGTTCTGTCATGAGGAATGCGGCCATGAGCTTTCATTCTTGCCCCACACAACTCTCCTTCCTGCCCCTCCTTCCTGGTCAGCTTCTCACCACTGCCTCTTCCTGGACTGGGTAGAAATGGCATCCTTTACACTCGGGTGGAGTTGCTTGACCAGATGTTAGTCAACCTGGAATAGGGTCAGCTAAAGTGAGGTGACAAAGATCCAGCCCACGAGGGGCCCAGGCAGCCGCTGAGCCTGGCTTTGTCCTGGATTAAAACAGAAGGTGAACAGGGGTTCTGAGGGAACCGGGTCACTTGTGTAGGTGAGACATAGAAATGCATATGTGTGTGTTGTATGGTGCATATAAGAGCTCTGAAAATAGTCACCATTAATGTATCACCTGCTGTGATGTTTCCACACTGCCTACACATGACCTCACATGTGTAGGGTTTGTTTGTTTTGTTTTGTTTTGTTTTTTCTGAGGGTGAATGTATTTTTAAAGCCTTTTCACTTTAGGAGGCTTCCTCAAACAGAGAGCATTAGGAGACTGCTGTGAGCAGTCTTTCCTGGTGGGGAGATGAGGGTAAACAGCAGCTGGCCACAGCTGAACCCAGGTGCTTTGTTTCCTTCCGTAGCCTCCATCAGTCCTTCCCTAAAGCCACCACAAGGAAATGTGCAGTTTAAAATGATGGGCCCCAGGCTGGGCACCATAGTGAGACCCCCATCTCTACAAAGAAAAGTCTTGCTCTGTCACCAGCCTGGAGTGCAGTGGCGTAATCTCGGCTCACTGCAACCTTCGCCTCCCAGGTTCAAGTGATTCTCCTTCCTCAGCCTCCCAAGTAGCCGGGATTACAGGCGCCTGCCACCATGCCCAGCTAATTTTTGTATTGTATTGTATTGTATTTATTTTATTTTATTTTATTTTATTTTATTTTATTTTAAGATGGAGTCTTGATCTGTCGCCAAGGCTGGAATGCAGTGGCATGATCTCAGCTCACTGCAAGCTCCGCCTCCTAGGTTCATGCTGTTCTCCTGCTTCAGCCTCTCAAGTAGCTGAGACTACAGGCGCCCGCCACAATGCCCGACTAATTTTTTATATTTTTTAGTAAAGACAGGGTTTCACTGTGTTAGCCAGGATGGTCTCGATCTCCTGACCTCATGATCCGCCCGCCTCGGCCTCCCAAAGTGCTGGGATTACAGGCATGAGCCACCACACCTGGCCTAATTTTTGTAATTTTGGTAGAGATGGGGTTTTGCTATGTTGGGCAGGCTGGTCTCGAACTCCTGACCTCAAGTGATACACCCACCTTGGCCTCCCAAAGTGCTGGGATTATAGTAAGAGCCACTGTGCCCAGTCCCAAAAACAATCTTTTAAAATAAGGCCAGGTGCAGTGGCCCTGGGAGGCCTAGGCAGGAGTATTGCTTCAAAACCAGCCTGGGTTTCAGAGCAATTTTAAATTAGCCAGACATGTGCCTGGCGGCATTAGGTGGCATGTGCCTGTGGTTCCAGCTTCTCAGAAGGTTGAGACGGGAGGATTGCTTGAGCCTGGGTAGTTGAGACTGCAGTGAGCCATGATGGCACCACCGCACTTCAGCCTGGGTGACAGAGAGAGACACTGTCTGAAAAAAAGGGGCGGGGGAAGGACCTGCTGTGCAGACAGAACAGCATTACACACTCCTCACCCACACACATACACAAAGAAATACCACAGTTACCACCAGAATGAGAAGCTCAAAACAGGATCCTAGTTAATGCTCCAAAAATGCCCCTGACAGACACACAGACATACCCCTTGATGAGAGCCAGGAGGACACCAGTGGAGTGGAGAGAGGGGAGTGATGAGCCAGTGCCAATGTAGTGGCTTCTTCTGTGGCTAGTCCCAGTTAAGATTTTGTGTCCGTTTTGGTTCCATTTCACCCTTGCAAGGGGCTGTGCATGTGTCACAGTGGGTGCTGAGACGTGCTGGCAGCTGACTTCCACAGCATGTTTTGGTTACCTGAAGTGTGCCTGCAGGCTCTCACAGAGCGGCAGGCAGCCTGTGTAAGCACAAGCAGAGTTAGGTGTGTGATGCCGTGATTGCTCCTAGGACCACAGAGAGCCAGCGTGGTTTCTGTGGTCCCCAAGGAGGGGACACTTGGGCCAGCCCATGAAGGAGATGCCGCACATGGTTCCCTGAGGCTGAAGCATACAGTGGAGGCAGGGTGGTGTGGGGGAAATGTTTGGAAGCAGATTGTAGACTCCTCCACGTAGCCACCTAAGGAGGGAGAACTGTAACCTAGAGGTGGTGGGCTTTATTAAGTGAGTGAGGCTCAGTTAAGCTTTTTAAAACTTTTTACTGGGCCAGGCACAGCAGCTCACACCTATAATCCCAGCACTTTGGGAAGCCAAGGCAGGCAGATCGCCTGAGGTCGGGAGTTCGAGACCAGCCTGACCAACATGGAGAAACCCTGTCTCTATTAAAAATATAAAATTAGCCAGGCCTGGTGGTTCATGCCTATAATCCCAGCTACTCTGGAGGTTGAAGCAGGAGAATCGCTTGATCCTGGGAGGCGGAGGTTGCAATGAGCCGAGATTGTGCCATTGCACTCCAGCCTGGGCAACAAGAGCGAAACTCCATCTCAAAAAACAAAAACCAAAAAAAACCAACTTTTTATTGTGGGAATTTTCAAACACACACGTTTGAAAGTAGAAAGTAGGAAAAAATAGTAAAATGAACCTTTTGTTCATTTTACTATTTTTTTACAGGGTACCTCATTTACTATCTACATGAGCGGTCTTGGTTTATCTATATATGCCTATCCCAAGTATTTTGAAGCCAGCCCTGTATATATTATTTATTTGTTAATACTTTAGCATGTAGCTGGGCGCGGTGGCTCACGCTTATAATCCCAGCACTTTGGGAGGCCAAGGCAGGCGGATCATGAGGTCAGGAGATCGAGACCATCCTGGCTAACAACATGAAACCCCATCTCTACTAAAAATACAAAAAATTATCTGGGCGTGGTGGCACGTGCCTGTAGTCCCAGCTACTCCAGGAGGCTTGAGGCAGAAGAATCACTGTTAATCCGGGAGGCAGATGCTCTGCAGGGAGTGAGATTTGCCACTCAACTCCAGCCTGGGGGTGACAGGAAGCAAGGGACTCCTTCTCAAAAAAAAAAAAAAAAAAATGTGGCCGGGCGCGGCTGGCCTTCAAGCCGGTAATTCCCAGCACTTTGGAGGCCGGAGACGTGATGCGGACACGAGGGTCAGGGAATCGAGACCATCCTGGCTAACACGGTGAAAACTCCCCGTCTCAAAATACAAATAAACAGTCCGGCCGATGTGGCGGGCGCCTGTAGTCCATCTACTCGGATCGGCTGAGGCCGGGAGAATGGCGTGAAACCCAGGAGCGCGGAGCTTGCAGTGAGCTGAGATCCGGCCATTGCACTCCAACCTGGGCGGCAGAGCGAGACTTCGCCTCAAAAAAAAAAAAAAAAAAAATGCATATATTGATCCATATATTTAAAATATCACTAATAAGGTATGTATTATAATACAGGCTTCAACTCTTTTAATCTTAAGTTGTTTTTACTCTACAAGTCTCCACTCCTTTTTTTTTTTTTTTTTTGAGACATAGTCTCACTCTGTCGCTCAGGCGTGAAGCTGTAACACATTTTAAATCATATTTTTGTATAAATAGCTTTAGCATTTCAAGTTATTTCTCTAGGATGTATTCCTAACATAGGACTCTTATGTCAGAAGCTACATCTGTTTCATGGTGTGGGCTACCTAGGTTTTTTGTTTGTTTGTTTGTTTGTTTGTTTGCTTTTTGAGACGGAGTCTCACTCTGTCACCCAGCCTGGAGTGCAGTGGCGCAATCTTGGCTCACCGCAACCTCTGCCTCCTGGGTTCAAGCAATTCTCCTGCCTCAGCCTCCCGAGTAGCTGAGATTACAGGCATGTGCCACCATCCCCGGCTAATTTTTGTATTTTTAGTAGAGAGAGAGATGCACTATGCTGGCTTTTAGTAGAGACGGGGTTTCACCGTGTTAGCCAGGATGGTCTCGATCTCCTGACCTCATGAACCGCTTGCCTCGGCCTCCCGAAGTGCTGGGATTACAGGCATGAGCCACTGGCCTTTATTTTTATTTATTTATTATTATTAACTGTTTTGACACAAAGTCTCGCTCCGTGGCCCAGGCTGGAGTGCAGTGGCGTGATCTTGGCTCACTGCAACCTCTGCCTCCTGGGTTCAATTGATTCTCCTGCCTCGGCCTCTTGAGTAGCCAGGATTACAGGCGTGCACCAGCATGCCCAGCTAACTTTTGGGTTGTTGTTATTGTTTTAAAGACAGAGTCTCGGCCGGGCGTGGCGGCTCACACCTGTAATCCCAGCACTTGAGGAGGCTGAGGCAGGTGGATCACAAAGTCAGGAGTTCTAGACCATCCTGGCCAATATGGTGAAACCCTGGCTCTACTAAAAATACAAAAAGCTGGGCGTGGTGACGCGTGCCATAATCCCAGCTACTCGGGAGGCTAAGGCAGGAGAATCGCTTGAACCAAGGAGTGGGAGGTTGCAGTGCATTGAAATCGTGCCATTGCACTCCTGCCTGGTGACTATAGTCTCTACAAAAACCCCGTCTCTACAAAAAAATGCAAAAATTAGCTGGGCATGGTGGTGTGCACCTGCAGTCTCAGCCACTTTGAGGGACTTGAGTCTGGGAGGATCACTTGAGCCTGGGAGATTGAGGCTGCAGTGAGCTGAGGTCATGCCTCTGCACTTCATCCTGGGTGGCAGAGTGAGACCCTGTCTCAAAAGAAAACAAGAAAGAAATGTGTGACTCTGCATCTTGGTGAGGGCCCATGCCTTGGAGAGTGACTCTGTTAACTTCTTGCATGTGCTGTTGTGGTTACAGCTAAGATGAGCTTGTCACCATTGCTTCAAGACCCATGTTAGGTTGGTTTAAGCAGCCACCAGATCTTTGGCTGGTAAAAGTACCCTTCCCTATGCCCTCTCTTATGAGGGATAAGGATAGGGAGATGTTTGGATGAGGCCTTCATGGCCCCCTCTTCTTGAATTGGCCATTTCTTCCCCTAACAAATAACAAGATACCTTGTTTTAAACCCAGATAAAGCACAATGGTGTGGCCACCAACTCTGTAGCTGCAGGACTCCATTTGCTGTCAGCACATACTTAGGAGGAGGTATCTGTGCTATATCCTAACTCCCATTTTGGAGATACCTATAAATATCTGTATAATGAACTATAGATTGAGGAGAAAAGAAACAAGTTTCTGTCTATGGAAAATTGCAGACTTTTTGAAAAGATGAGACAAAGTAGAGGCTGTGTGTTTTCACAGTAGTAACTACTCTGTATGTAATTATCAAACATGTGAAGCAATTATGGTATAGTTCCTGGTGGTGTCCCTTCAAGAGATGATATGAGAAAGAGACGGATTGAAGCGAGAGCCATGTGAGGCCGTATGGAAGGCACCCTTTGAGCTGGGCATTGAAGGATGGGGAAGAAAACAGTGGGTTTTTTGGGTTAGGCATGAGCTGAGTTTTAGAGGCAAGACTGAGAATGGCTCTGGCAAGCTGGGGATTGTGGGTAGTTGTTATTCTGTGCCAGGTCTTGGGCTGTGGGTGCAAATACAAAAATACAGGTGGCATTATATCTGTCCTCTGGGAACATGGTGAAGACCGTATTTCCTGACACCAAAGAAAGGAAAACAGGGCTCAAAAAGGTAGCTCACCATTTAGTAGATTGTGGCGAAACCCACCAGAACAGTGTAACACTGCTTGGAGTTGATGTGTTAGAAAGTCAGGCTCTCCTACCGAAGGATAGTGGGGCCACTCATAGGAATGCTGGAATCCCCATCCAGCAACCCAGTGGGCATGCATGGCTATAGACCTAAAGATGCATCACCTTTTTTTTTTTTTTTTTTTTTTTTTGTATTTTTAGTAGAGACGGGGTTGCACTATGCTGGCCAGGCTGGTCTTAAACTCCTGGCCACAGGTGATCTGCCCGCCTCGGCCTCCCAAAGTGCTGGGATTACAGGCATGAGCCACCGCGCCCGGCCAAGATGCACCACCTTTAAATGCAAATTTTTGTATTTTTAGTAGAGAGAGAGATGCACTATGCTGGCCAGGCTGGTCTCAAACTCCTAGCCACAGGTGATCTGCCTGCCTCAGCCTCCCAAAGTGCTGGGATTACAGGTGTGACCCACTGCACCTGGCTGGGAAAATTGTTATAACATGGTTTAAGCAGGAATACTATGATTACACACACAAACACACACACGCACACCACCCCCTCCCCCGCCAAGGGGAAAATGCATTGAAAAGGACTGGAAGTAAGTATGTTATTCCAGGTTTCTCTGGGCGAGGAGTCGATGGGTAAGGTTTTGAGATGGAACAAAGGGGGTATTTCAGTGGAGCCCTGATGCTGGTGTTTGGACCTGGTGAAATGACAGAAGAGTTGTCTGGAGCATGCATGGACAGGGTCTGCACAGAAAAGCCTGTGGGGTGTGGAAATGGTGGTTTGGTCTGGCTGGAGGTGGGGTTAGAAGTGAAGGCTGGTGGCCGGGCACAGTGGCCCACACCTGTAATTCCAGCACTTTGGGAGCCTGAGGCAGGCGAATCACCTGAGGTCAGGAGTTCGAGACCAGCCTGACCAACATGGAGAAACCCTATCTCTACTAAAAATACAAAATTAACCGGGCGTGGTGGTGCATGCCTATAATCCCAGCTACTCCAGAGGCTAAGGCAGGAGAATCACTTGAACCCAGGAGATGGAGGCTGGGGAGAGCCAAGATCGTGCTAGCCTGGGCAACAAGAGTGAAACTCCGTCTCAAAAAAAAAAAAAAAAAAGTGAAGGCCAGACACGGTGGCTTACGCCTGTAATCCCAGCACTCTGGGAAGCCGAGGTGGGTGGATCCCCTGAGGTCAGGAGTTCACCAGCCTGGCCAACGTGGTGAAACCCTGTCTCTACTAAAAATACAAAAAATTAGCCAGGTATATTGGTGCACGCCTGTAATCCCAGCTACTCGGGAGGCTGAGGCAGGAGAATTGCTTGACCCCAGGAGGCGGAGGTTACAGCAAGCTGAGATCGTACCACTGTACTCCAGCCTGGGCAACAAAGCGAGACTCTATCTAAAACAAAAAAAGAAAAGAAGTGAAGAGCAGGGCCAGGGTGGGTCAAGGGCTCTTGTAAGTATTTAGGGAGATGACCCTGTCTTTGAACAGACTGAGACAGCAGCTTACAGAGGGAGTGAGAAACCCTGAACATGGAGAAGATTTAAAAGGTAGCATGGGGTTGACTCTGATAATACACCCTCTCTCTGAATGAGTCTTTTGTGTCCTTCTCCTCAGGTTCAGATTCAGAACAAGAAAGTGGATATCTCTAAGGTCTCCTCCAAGTGTGGGTCTAAGGCTAACATCAAGCACAAGCCTGGTGAGTGGCGCCTCCCTTGCCCACTGGGACTTCCAGGGTATGTAGTCCTGCCATGGGCCAGCTGGGCAGCCCGCTGGCTGGCAAGGGTTTCATCTCTGCCTTTAGCGTCCCATGAAGACTACCCAGGACACAGCGGTGGAAACAATACAGTCCTCGTTCTGTCAGGGAGCGGGAGTTCAGGTGCTAACCTCTCAGTGGAGGAGGATCAGTTTCTTACGACAGCCATCCGCACAGGCATTCTCTTGAGTACCCACTGTGTGCGTGGCACTATTGAGCTAGGCCTGGGGAAGCGGTGCACTCTGAGCTGAGAACCTGGGTTGCCTTAAACGAGGATTACAGGAGCTACTGCTGAAGGAGCTGTATAGAGAGCAGTGTTCAGGTCCCACCTGTCAGGTTCAGAAGCAAAGGATGCTCCCAACCAGTGAAGCATCAGCCACTAGCCCTGGCAGGAGAATGGGAGGCGTTCAGCAACTTGCACTAATGCAGTTTCCTTCCAGCAACATGGTTGGCCCAGCAGCCCTGTGGAAGTCACTGTGCAGAGGCTGGGCTCTTGCCTTGGCTAGTATCCTTGCAGCCTTGTGTCCTAGTTCCTGGGTTTACAGCAGATCTGTGGGTAGGATTGCTGCAGCAGCAGGCACACTGGCTGGCCGACCTGGTATCCCAGAAGGCTAGCCACCACAGGCCAGTTAAGGTGAAGGCAAAATTCTCTTCCCTCAGGGCGGGCGCAGTCTCTCATGCCTGTAATCCCAGCACTTTAGGAGGCCGAGGCAGGCAGATCACTTGAGATCAGGAGTTTGAGACCAGCCTGGCCAACATGGCAAAACCCTGTCTCTACTAAAAATACAAAAATTAGCCAGGTGTGGTGGTGCATGCCTGTGGAGAATTGCTTGAACCTGGGAGGCAGAGACTGCAGTGAGCCAAGAGTGTGGCACTGCACTCCAGCCTGAGCAACAGAGCGAAATTCTGTCTCCAAAAAGAAAGAAAAAACTCCCTTTCCCTCTCAGTGAAGAGTGTGATCCAGTTTAGAATGTGTTCTATTTAGAAAGAAACAATTCCATTCTTAACCATTTTTCCCCCTTTTATCTGGGAAATCTACTCCTATGAGATACTTCCTTCTCTAATGGCACTGAGTCACTTAGGGTCTAGATTTTGCCAGGGCTAAGTTTCCCAGTATGGGACACCGGGAGACCTTGGCCAGAAGCTGTGCATGGAGGTCTGCCATGTGAGCTGAGAGGAGAAGGAAGAACAGGAGAAGGGGCCCAAGGGGAGCCACGCTGCTGGGCTCAGGAGGGGCTGGGTACTCATTGACGGCAGCTCATCCCGCACCCCTCCCCTCCGTCTCATGGGCACACTCTGGCCAGTGAGCTCTGAACTCTGGGCTTGAGTTCAGACCACCTTCCCTCCCCGTCCTAGCCTGAGGTCACTAGATCCCGAGGGCCTGCCTTGGTCCATGTCTTTCCTTTCTCAGCGCACAGCCTCGGGGCCACTCTCCTTTTTATCATTCCTTCTTTTTGCTACAGTGTGATACGGTTAGGGGCTCAGACAATTTTCACAACCTGTCCCTGTCAATCAGCAGTTTGGTGGTAACTCTGGGTGAGTCCCTTCTCTTTTGCAGCATGTTTTACCAGCTGTGAAGCAGGGACCGTGGCCGTGATGACAGGGCATTCATGAGAATTCAGTGAGGCTGTACCTGAGAAGCACTGCATGGCCCAGTTAGCGGGAGGGCATTCCCATACCAAGTAGAGAAGCAGAGGCTTCGTCCCGGAGGCTGTGCTCGGAGCCCCAGGCCTGCCCAAGCCTGGCCTGCAGCTCGGTGGCTGTGGCGTGGGGTGGTGGAAGGGATGGCGTTCCTTCTCTTGGAGATATTCCCACTGGCTGGACGGAGAGATTGTCTCAGCCTCACTGTGATAAGAGAAGCCCTCTTTAGACAAACGTGTTCACTGTTATTCGTTTGCCACCCAGAAGCAGGTCGCATCTTTCTCATTTCTAGATTGGGCATATCACCAGTCCTGGTTTTGCCTGCAGGGATATTCCTCTGCCACCCTAGGTGACCAATTTCTTTGTGGTTCCAGGTGGAGGAGATGTCAAGATTGAAAGTCAGAAATTGAACTTCAAGGAGAAGGCCCAGGCCAAGGTGGGATCCCTTGATAATGTGGGCCACCTACCTGCAGGAGGTGCCGTGAAGGTAGCGAGTGGGTCACTGGGGAGGCACAGCTGGGGAGGGGTGGGGACTATGCAGCTAGGGTCAGGGTCCTCACAGGTAGGCACCTGTCACCGCCCCTCAGTCTCTTCAGGAGTCATGTCTTCACCCACACCATTGCTGTTTTCCCATCGTGTATCATCAGTCCTGACTGAGGCAGAAGTGAAGAGGCCCCAGCCCAGCCACCCCTCACCTGTCAGCTGGAGGCAGAACCTTGCTCCTGAGAGCCATGGCCTTCCTAATTGAGCCCATCCAGGCATTTTAGAAGGCCACGGGCTGGGACACAGACCACCACCAGGCGAGCGGGGGTTCTGCACCACACAGTTCTCTCCAGCTGTCACACAAGAGGGGAATGTGGGTTCCCACCCCATGTCAGGCTCCGCTCCTGGGCTGGGAGCAGGACAGCACATTCTTGGCTGCCAGCGACAGCAGGCTGCCTGGGGCCTGCCTCTGCAGGGCCTGCCTGGGGCCTCCCTGTGCAGGGCTCTGGGACAGAGCTCAAGTGGCAGAGCTTCACATCCTGGCGACTGGCTGGGCCTCTTCTCCCTTCCCTCTCTCCTCTTTCCTGCCTTCCTCCTTCCACAGTACTGTGAGACCTTTTGTGTGCCAAGATGCTGTCTGTCCTTTGTTCCATGTCATCGGCGGGTGGGGGGCCCATGAGGGGCATCTTGTAGGCCCCGAGCACAAGGAAGGCTGCTGCTGCTCGGGTTCAGGTGCGCAGGGGAGAGGGGCCGGGAACCGCTTCCCTTCCCTTCCGCCTCTGCTCCCCAGTGCCAGCCAGTGCCCAGCCCGTCCCCTGTCCCATCCTCTCCTGATGCTCTGACTGAAGCCTTGATCAGCTTCCACGAACATCTGGGGGGTCCTTGCTGCCACAGGCTCTCAGTTCGTGCCCCCCACGCCTTGTGAGGATGCCGTTCTCGTGCCCATCTCAGTGGGGTGTTAACTTGACTTTAGTCTCTTGTCCAAGGACACAGTGAGCGAGTGTGGACAAGGATTCACATCTGGGCTTTTCTGACCCCAAGCCTTGTGTGCTTTTCCTTACTCATATTATCTCCGTTTCTTTATTAGTTCTGGAATTAGGATTTTTAATTGAGGCCTATTTCTCTCACTATGCCAATTAGAAACCACTTCTGCCTTGTCACTTTTTGGGTATTTGGCGACACAGGCTTTCCAGCTCCCCAGTGACCTCTCACAGCTGTTCTCTCTTCTCTGCCTTCCTCACACTGAGTGTTCCATGTCCCCCAAATGTCCTTCTCCTATGAAGCCCTCCGGGCCTCCACAGTCTCCCTGGGTTATACCTCCTTGGACACCTCCTTTCTGCCTCCCGTGGACCCCTGGTCCCAGAAAGGTGCCCAGCACAGACAAAGCCTCAGTGCCTGCGTTCCTGACCAGACAGATGTGCAGGCAGGGCTGCCCGGGAGCTGCTGACAACCCCAGGGTGTGCAGGGGGTGGCCTGGGTCCAGGGAGGGTTTGGGAGGATGGGCTGCACCCTTTGGGGGGCTGCCTTTCAGGCTTGTTGCTTACTGTTGTCATGGCTAATTTGGTACCAGCCTGAGGCCTGGCACCTCTGCCCTCAGAGAGGCTTCATCAGAGCCTCACATGCCACAGAGGGGCTCTGAGAGTGTCACTAGCCCAGCTGCTCCCGACCCTCGGGAGTCGGTCTCCCAGGTGAGGTGGGGTGGGTGGGGCCAGGGCACCTGCCTGGGATTCTCCAAGCGACTGTGCCTTAAGCCAGTGGGTGCCGGGACAGCACGGGTGGGGGCTGTGTGTGAAACCCACCACCATCACCCATCCCACTCCCCTCCCGACTGACCCTGCACTGTCTCCCCCACTGTTTCATTGTAGACTGAGGGCGGTGGCAGCGAGGCTCCTCTGTGTCCGGGCCCCCCTGCTGGGGAGGAGCCGGCCATCTCTGAGGCAGCGCCTGAAGCTGGCGCCCCCACTTCAGCCAGTGGCCTCAATGGCCACCCCACCCTGTCAGGGAGTGGTGACCAAAGGGAGGCCCAGACCTTGGACAGCCAGATCCAGGAGACAAGTAAGTGGCTGGGCTCGGCCTAAGGGCCAGCCAGGGGCCCTGCCACTGGCCGCAAATTGAAACTCCTTTGTTTTTGACTAGAGTGTGGCCTAAATTTTAACGAAGTAACCTTTTATTTTCCAGGCATCTAATGATGACATTCTGGTCTCGTCTTCCGTCTCCCCCGTGTTCCCCTCTTGTCTCCCCTGTTCCCCTCTCCCTTCCCTCCTCCCATGTCACTGCAGATTGAGACCTACAGGCTGACGTTCCGGGCAAACGCCAGGGCCCGCACCGACCACGGGGCCGACATTGTCTCCCGCCCCCCACATTTCCCTGGCGGCCCCAACTCGGGCTCCCGGGTCCTTGGCCCCCTTTCCCGGACTGTCCACTAGACCAGTGAGCGCTTGGGCGCCGGGCAGCCCGCTAGGCTCGCCTTCCCTCCTGCTTCGCAGCAGCAGCCCCACCCCACACCTCCTCTCACGCTCCAGCCCAGGCCCAGCTCCCTGCTTTCGTCTTGCCCCATCACTGCGCCACTGCTCCATAGAGGAGGTTGGGAGGGGGTTGGGGTGGCTGAGGCTAAGTTGGGATCTAGGAGAGGAGAACTAGATTCCACCCTCATCTTTGTTTGGTTCTTTGGTCCAAACCCAAAAGAAACTGACATGCCCTCCCTCCTTCCTGGATCTACCTGGAGGGAAGAGTGGAGGCGGAGTTTGAGTGGTGACAGGACGCTGACTGTGGCGCTTAAGCCACTGCCTCTCCCTTTGGCGCCACCAATGCCCCCCCCCCACATGCAGGTGGTGTCCAGCCCTTCTTGCTGCCCTGCCCCAAGTTGGGGTCAGTGCTGCCTGTTCCCATGCTTAACATACCCACCTAGCTGCTGTCACATTTTTCTTGTTTTGTCCTTTTATTTTTTTTCTAATAACCTAAAAACTGGCGAAATAGTTCTGCAGGTTGAAGCCATGTCTATATGAAAGTCCTCAGTAAGTGTTAGAGGGAACAGGGCGGAGAGATCCTTACGCCACCCCCGCTGGAGGATGTGGGCAGCTTAGGGCCCTGGAGGCGGTGCAGCAGGGAAGAGGGGTGCAGAGGCTGTGGCTGGTGAGCCGGTCGGGCACACAAGGGGCTCTTGGAGCGTGCACTGGTTGGTTTTGCCATTTTGTTGTGTGTATGCTGCTTTTCTTTTCTAACCAAGAGGCTGGTTTTGGCATCTCTTTCCCATTCCCTGGGATCTGGTGGTCAGCCCTAGGATACAAAGCCAGGGCTGGAGAACAAGAAAGGGCCAGGAGATGGAATTCCTTCAGGCCGGCACCCGCACCCTAGGACATGCAAGCCCTCATGTCCAGGGGACCCTCATGCGGACAGTGGGAAATCAGGTCTGGAAATTTAAAAATAAAAGGCATGAGACTAAGGCCATCTGCTTCCCCTACGCCCTGACTGGAGAGGGGAGGGAGGAGAGGTGAGGCCCACAGAGGGCATCCCAGCTAGGCCTTGGGATGGCTGCAGTGAGGAGAAATCCTGGGAACTGTATTGACACAAAGATTCTTATTGCACTTGTATTTTTTGTATTAAAGTTTGCATGGTTTCTAATAAAGGATTCAAACATAAGTTTGTAGTGAAATGGCCTGGAAGATTCCAAGGGCTTCTCTGGAGGGGACTGGCTACAGTGTAGATTTGCCTCTGAGGCTGCCCCAGACTTGGCCTCCTCAGGCCCTTCCTGACCTCTGCCCTTCTCTGGTCCTGGCATCCCTTGGAGCTGGAGAAGGTAGGGGTCTTGGCTTAGGTTTAGATTTGATCTCCATGTGCAGGGAGGCAGTCCTGGGCCTGACAGCTCCTCCCCCTTTCTGAGGTGGCAGTGCCTTATGGAGGTTTGGCACCATGTCTCTAGCTCCCCAGGCACACACCAGGAAACTGCAGGGCCTCACAGAGGAAGTGCTGCCTGGGCCGGGGGGACTAGCTTTCCTCCATAGAGACCATGTGCAGAACACTTCCGCTGTGCCCAGAACATGAGGGAGCCAGTGTTTCGTCAGCAGGAGGAAGGGCCTGCTGGGATGAAAGTGAGAAGGAAACAGTGAGGGTTGGGTAGTCAGGAGACACCACAGGGGCAACAGCACAGGCCCAGAGTACCTGCTGCCTCTGCTGCGTCTGTCCCAGGGTCATGAGGATGCTGAGGTTGACGACAGGTTCCAGGTCCTTTCGCTCCTTTGGCCAAGGGTTGGGGGGAGGTGGCCCAAGTGGCATGCTCTCTAGGTAAGACAATAGGAGTGGTCAGAGTTCCCTCGAAGGATCCTGCACACCAGAGCACCTGAGAAGGCCAGGACCAGAGGCCCTGTGTGATGTGTACTCCGCAGCCATTTGGGGTGGGACAGTTCTGTACTTCCCGATTTGCTTATGGCTCAGCCATTACCTGTGTCAGTCTGTGATTCTGTTGTAACAGTTTTAAGAGTAAATAAAGCTGCCTGATGTCCCATCACACAGGCTCCATGCTTCTGTGTCTCGGTTTGCATCTACCTCCCTGATCCTCCTGCCCTCAGCTCACCCCCTTGCATCAAGGGAATGAAATGCAGTGTGCGCATGATCTCCATGACCTCAGCATTCAGTCCCTCGGCTATGAACTTGTGGATGTGAATACAGGAAGGACCACTGTGCCGCACAGCCCTGGGCCTCGGCTGCCTGCAGAACTCTCCCCCAGTCTGCCTGGTAAAGGGCTACCCGACACTTACTGTCCAAAACTACAAGCACAGTGACAGTTCTAACAGGCTTCCTGTGGTGGGTACCCAGAGAAGCAGCTGTGCCAGGGGACTGGGCTGGTTAACAGCACGGCTGCTTCCTGCTCTTGGCGAAGGAAGGAGGTTCTAACCCCCTTCTTTCTCTCTCAAGACTTGGGGCCACAGGCAGCCCCTGTCCCCCAGCAATAAGCATCTCTCTTCTCTACCTTCCTTCCTCTTTGGGGAACCGTGGCCCAGTGTATGGAGGCCCTGAGAGAGGAGCCCCTAGTGGACAGCAGTGGTCACAAGGGATAAATAGAACTTTATTTTAAATAAACATTTGCACTCTGTACACAGCCCCAGCAGAAGCAGGGCTCAGTCGTCAGCTGTCTTGCGCACATCAAAGCTGCCACACGGTCCTCGCAGCAGCTCTGCCAGTAGCGCAAGCAGCTGCCCGTGCTCCTCCTGCACGCTGGGGGGAAGTGCAGCCAGCTCGCTGCGCAGGCTCCGCTCCACCATGCGGCCCAGGGCCCGCCGCAGCTCCCTCAGCAGCCGCACGGTACGCGAGTCACCCTCCAGCCGCAGCAGGTCACTGTCGCTCAGTGAGATGGTGGCCCGGCGCCCGTCATCTGAGGGAACGGAAAAGATGGTGGTAAGCTGTGGTGAGGCCAGGCCCCAGAGGAGCAGCTGCAGAGCGGGGTGGGCGGAAGGCCTGCAGGCACCCACCGCGGATGTGCACGTCCCCGTCGGTCAGGAGCAGCACAGCTAGTGGGTGCACCTGAGAGGAGTCCCGGACGAAGACGCTGCCATTGGACTTGACCGCCATGAAATACGTCAGCCATCGGCTCCGCAACCGTGTGGCCTCCCTAGGGAACACAGGGCTGGTGAGGCCACCCTTTTGGACCATCCCAGCTGCCCCATCCAGGCCTGCATGCCCTCACCTGTTAATGGTCGACTTGTGCAGCAGGATGTTGCCTGATTTGGTCCTGTATGTGACGCTGTTGGGCTTGAACTTCCCCTGCCGGGTGACCTTGCCCTGCCTCACCTGCAGGGATGGAGGAAAAGATGGGTGGGGCTGAGCAAGGAGCTGCAGACAGGGAAGGAGGCTGGGACCTGGTGAACTCCACTCCCTCCCAGAGGCAGCACCTGGATGAGGTTGGGGTAGAGGCCGGCCATCAGCACGCCCTTCACCAGCTCCTCCTCCTCACTGTACTCGTTGCACTGGGCAGAGGCCAGGGTGCAGTCCGAGGGCTTCCCCACCAGGAAGGCCTCATAAATGTTCTCCGAGAACTGCTTGATGAGTCCTAGGGAGACAGAATGTGCAGTGAACCTACAGCCCCTAGCCACAGGCTGGGGGTAACAGAAGCTCAGTGGGGGTGGGAGGGGCGGGAGGGGCTCAGGAAAGCAGGCGTGGGCCCAGCTGACCGTGGATGAAGCGCAGGCTAGGTGCATAGAGCAGGTTTTCCTCCAGGTAATTCTCCCTGGAGCTGCGGTCCTGCCAACGCAGCACCTCCTCCCAGCCGGCGACAGCCCGCACAAAGGCCAGGTGGTCACTGCCACTGTCGTGGCTCAACAGTGCTTTCACCTGGGAGGGGAGAAGAGGGCAGCCGGGTCACAGGCAGGGGCTAGACAACGCCCCCTCAGAACAGCAGTGGGTGGAGGGCTCCAGGAAGGAGTCAGGACTGACCTTGTCCACCTCGGCCCGGTTCTGTAGGCTGCTGCTGAAGGGGTCCCGGGTAAGGCAGGAAACGACCACTAGTAGCGGGTGCAGGCAACGGAAGATGGCGGCCAACACTATGGCCTTGGCCAGCCGGGGGTCGGTGGAGATGTGAGCCAGGCGCTGCCCCAGGGTGGTCAGGTACTCCCGCTGGTCCAGCACCCCTGCAATGGCTCAGCTGTCAGTGCCACCTTCAGGAGCTACACCCCGGCCCAGCCCAGCCCAGCCCCTACATACCGATCTCCTGGAGCAAAATCACAGCCTCGTCCACTGCCTTGATGTTTGGACTGTCCACAGCCTTGGACAGGAACTCCACCGCCTAAGACGAACAGAGCCAGAGCCCGCCATGAGCCTGCCTCCCACCTGTCCGGTCCCCAGGCCAGCCCCCACCCCGCCCCACCCCACCACACCGTCTTCTCAGGCATGTGGATTTTCGCTTGCAGCACCAGGTTCTCGAGAGGCGTGCGCAGGATCTCTGGCACTTGGAAAGGGACCATTTTCTCCAGCCGGCTTCGAGGGAACAAGTGGTAGGCAAAGCCTGACTGGCAGCGGCCCGCTCGGCCCCGGCGCTGGATCACATTGGCTCTTGACACCCACACTGTCTCCAGACAGGACACCTGGAGGAGGGGGCAGGTAAGCAGCACACAGATACCACTTCCTCAGTGCTACCCCACTCCGAGTAACCCTCACTAGCCCCCAACATCAGGAACACTGAGACCCCACAAGCGTGGCCTTCTCAAGACACACAAAATAGGTCTAAGGTAGATCTGGGCTGCAGACCACCTCGAAACGGAGTCCCTCCCCCAGTGGTTGGCCAGGCCCAGGAGGTAGGTGCCACCTTGGTCTTCAGGTCATAGCGTTCTTCCTTGTGCAGCCCACTGTCCACCACATGCACGATGTCATTGATTGTGATGGAAGTCTCCGCAATATTGGTGGCCAAGACAATCTTGCGCACCCCAACTGGAGGCTGCTGGAATATGGCCTTCTGATCCATCATGGGGATGTTGGAGTGCACTGGTGGGCAAGACACACACTGGTTATGGGCACTGCTTCCACCAGAATTCCCCCCTGGAATGTGGGCAGGGCAAGGATTTTGACCCCATTTTGATGAAACAGGTGCAGATAAACACTATGCCCAGTGAAAAGTGCTGCGGCTTGGTCAGAAACCAGGACCCCCGGAGTCCCAGTTGGGTCAGTCCCCAGGACAGAGGCCAGGCTGGTTTCCAAAGGTCCCTGATCCCTCTGCCCGGGCTCTCACCTGGCAGGATGAGGTACTTGCTCTCGTGCATGCCCAGGGCCTCCTGGAGGCGCTGCTGCACTCCTTTGATCTCCTGCCACCCAGGCAGGAAGCACAGGATCCCACCTGCAAAGGAGCCCTGGGGCATGAGCCAGCTGCTTCTGCAAGCGTGGCCAGGACTGGCATGGGGCAGATGGGGAGGCACCCACCTGGTTCCCCACGAGCATCGATGTGCAGAACCAGATCAGTCACAAGGTCCAAATCGAGTGCGCATTCATCCTCAGACTGGGGTGGGGGAAGAGAGGCCACAGTCACAGCCCCGGGGTAAGGGGTCATGCCAAGGACACAGCCACCTGACTCAGTGAGACGGAGCCGCTTGACATCAACTCCAATCCTCACATGCGTGCCACGCACGTGGGGTTAGTCCTCAGTTTCTATCAAGGAAACTGAGGACTGGGGAGGGTAACTTGCCCCAGGCCACCAAGCCCCAGGGCCAGGGAGGAGGGGCATCCATGGAGGAAAGGCCAGGAGCCTCGGGTGGGATGGGGGTGTCCCTCACCTCATGGTGCCGGTGCCGGTGCAGGTATTGGTGCTTGCCCAACTTGGCCAGGATGTCCTCCAGGTAGTGCTCCTTGACCGGGTACATGAAGCCAGGCACCTTGATGACAGGGCAGCCACCAAAGTATCGGGAGAAGCGCTCATTGTCCCCTGTGGCACTCATGAGCACCAGCCGCAGGGCCGGGTTGAGCCGCTGCAGGCCCTTGAGCAGGATCAGCAGAAAGTCTGTGTTCACGTCCCGCTCATGCACCTCATCCACGATGACGTGGCTCACACCCTCCAGGCTGGGGTTGCTCTGCAGCTTACGCAGCAGGATACCCACAGTGCAGAAGAGCAGGGCCCCGCCTCGGGCTGGGGGCTTACTTTCCAACCGCACCTGGAAGCCCACGTTCCGGCGCAGGGAGGGGCCCAGTTCGTGGCTGACCCGCTGTGCCACAGACACAGCAGAGATGCGGCGAGGTTGGGTGATGATCACATTGCAGCGGGCACCGCGGCCCTCGGTCACATAGCGCTCCAGCAACAGCTGGGGGATGCGTGTGGTCTTCCCACAGCCTGTGTCCCCAGAGATGACCACCACCGGGTGCTGCTCAATGGCGTTGAGGATGGTATCCCGATGTGGATCCACAGGTAGCTGGGGGGCCTCCTGCCAGACTGGCCCTCGCCGCCGCCACAGTTCTAGCAGACTCTGGCTGAGACGTACCTCCTCTGCTTCCAACAGGGGCACATAGGGCTTGCCTGTGATAGGGTCACTGAGAGGCCCTGAGTCCTTGCCCAAGGGCAAGATGTCTTCACTCTGCAGCCGGAGTTCTGGGGCGATCCATGAACTCTCCACAGGGTACTGGGGGGCAGGGAGGCAAGCAAAACAATGAAAAAGAAATTCCTCATTACCACCCAACCAGCCACTCTGCAGGATCCGCCTGGGTCAGATGTTGTGGCCCAACCCACTGGGCACAGGATTAATTTAGTCCGTGACTGCCCCGGGATCCTTGTGGGCAAGACTGGGCTGCTGAGGCCAGGGGGCTCCCAGGCCCCAATCTCAGTGAAGAGAATGGGGAGGTACTACTGCCTGTCGCAGGTAGAGGCCTTCAGTCTGAAGAGATGGAGGCAGACTACAGGGGGCATGGGTGATGAGGGATGCGGGGCCTCTTACATGGTTCAGGAAGGTCTCTATCTTGCGGAGGATGGGCTCGGGCACCTGGATGGTGCATGGTCGGCGCTGGGTTTCACCCAGCTCACGCAAAGAGGCCAGGTTA